GACAGTCTCTCAGTATCATGACCTCCATCAGCCCCAGAGTGCCCCCTGTGGCTCACTCCATTCTCCCAACAGGTGGGGACCATCCAGACTTAATTCCAGCCAGTGAATAGAGCCATAGGAACAGGTGCATTCTGATATTGGAAATAGCCGATATTGGAGTTGTGCGGTTGACAGTTTTTACCATGTACGTCTCAACTTTGGACAACTTGTATTGATTTTGCTGCAGGGGTGGTTCTTTGGAAATAAATTCCTGTATGACAGGAGAGACAAAAGCCTTATGGATTTCTGGGAGAGGAATAAAGTGCGGTGGAGCACAGCAATTCTCTTAAGAGTTCCACACAGTGAGCAATATTTTACAGCTTTGCTCAGTCAGCTAAGGAGTTTGGAAGAGGAGTTTAAAAGAAAGAAAGAAAAACAGTGGCAAAACAGTCATTACATGTGGGGCTGATGACGCTGTATGTCCATGGTGTTAACTACAGTTTATGTGCAAATTAGAATAGGGAACACAATTCTATACTGTATATATTTACTACATCTTTGAAAATGCTGTCTATTTTTCAGGTGGATAATCTCATGATATGCTTTGTTGGCCAGAGAAAGAATCCATTAAACATTCCTCTAGAGACAAAAAGGCTTATCATGGGATCAGCTTTTATTTGATTGCAAATGGCTCTGTCCAAACAAGTAAGTGACACTGGTAAAGTCCAGCGCTTAGCTTTGTTTAGCTAGATATGGAAGTATTATGCAAACACATTGTATGATTATGCACAACTAGAAATAGTGTTGGATGAGTGATATCCCACAGTATAAGGATTAGTAACTAACACCCACTCTTCAATTATGAGTATAAAACTCTTATGTTGGCTTTTTTTGTCCCATATTCCATGTTATGCAACCTGCTCCAGTTTGAAATAGAATCATTTCACAGCTAACCACATGTTAGCATATGCCAGAATGGATACAGTTCAGACAAAGATGGAGACAGTCTTGGTGTGGATGATGACACAAAGCCAAATGAGTCTCGAAAAAAACACCACTGTTGACAACAAACTCAGAGAGGAAGGACTTCAGGTCGTCAGATTGCAGGTGAACACGTTACATCATCATCAACAGAGTGTTAATATCAGCTTGCTTTGTCCAGAACGTGCCCTTTCAAGTGGGGAGGTAGGGAGTCTGGGGCGATATTTTTAAACCTGAGAAACAGCAGCTGCCGTTGCGCTGGAGTTATGTGGGTTAAACAGCTCACTGGCGGGTGCTAAGGAGATATGTCTCACACTTGAAACATAAACCGGTCCTGGTAAACTCTCCAGCCCAAAATCCTCCCAAGTCTAAGTTGGAGGACACCCGAGGGAGATGATATTTGAGGTGAGGCCAAAAACAAAATGCCTGTTTTATCCCTCCATTATTAATACTCCCTTATTCTCTTTAGGAATATCAAGCTGAGCCTCCTAAAAGGCGGAAAATATGGAAATGCAAATATTTCAAATCTTACCACTGGAGGCTACGGCGAACATCTTCATTAATTCATTGGCCTGCTTTTTGTGGGTTACTCTGATTTTTAAAAAGGAGGCTGGGATTCCATTACTTTCAACTGTTTGAGAGAGGAAAAAAGCCCTCATCCAAGATTCAAATGTACGAGCGAGCTCTCATGAATTCATGACCCAATCTTTGCGGAATACAGTAGAGTATGTGGCAAAAATCCAGGGTTTTTCAACACACAATTAGAAAGACCAAAGGCAAGTTGTTAAAAGCCGCGCAGAGAGCTTTGAACCCAACTGCTGCCATCACGCATCCATTTTGAGCCCTTTTTCTCTGGTGCCGACAGAATGACAGGAGATGTACTGACTTTGACATCCTCAATAATAAGTATCCTGCTAGAATGACTCATATTAGTACAAATCTAGACACGGATATCCTACCGGTGAGGCTCGATCAGATCGATGGGCCATACTGTATCCCTTCCCTCTGTCTTTCCACCACCCCTTTCCTTTCTCTCACAAATCATTCCATGCAATCACTCAGAGACAAAAAGCAGTCTTTCAATCCAGCTGTCCATCATAGGCTGTTCTACCTCTACTCAGCAACTGCTTAATAAAAAAAAAAAAGAGAGATTGAAGGGCAAGACAAAAGAGCTGGCGGGGCACGTCTTGCTCATAATGGCACCCACAGCTAAAATGGAAGGAGTGAGGAGGAGTAGGGAGAAATCTTTCTATCAAATTCCTTCCTCTTTTTTATGCAAGGGAAAGTGTCTGTCTTCCTTATAGCTCCCCTAAGCTGCTTTAACCTCTCTTCTCTCCCACTCTGCGGGTGGATGCTGGACGGGAAGATGGATGAGGGCCGGACGGCAAGCGGCAGAAGAGTGAGTTAATGAGGCAGATTGCTCTCTTTGCCTCCTTGCGAGGGATTACAGGAAGATTACCCATTCTGATTCTCTTCTCTTACAATTTTCAATCCCTCGGTCTCTGTGGCGGTAAACCGGAGGGGTGCCACGGGGCGGGGAGGGGCGTGGGGAGGGTGTGAGGGCCAATGTTTTGATAGAGGTGAGATAGAAGACAGTGCCTCGGCTCTCTGTCAGGGGAAAATGACAGCTGCTCAAAACACTGACCTGCGAAAGGATAGAGTTTCTGACTGATGCTTGCAATCTGACAGCTGCTTCACAGGCTGTGCTTGGCCTAAATATACCCAGCATGAGACTGAATATCTAATAAATCGAGCTCCATCATTAGATCCAGTCCCTCTTCAGATTCAATATACAGAAATGCACAACAAACATTTACAACACCTCAAATTATGCTTTTGAAAAGGTGTTGTCATTCCACAGTGTTCAAATGGCATGCTGATTGTGTGTTGACCTCATGGCATTTGAGTTGAAAAGCTGGAGATTTAGTATGCAGGGAAAGTTGTTAGGAGCCTAATGTCACAGGGATGAGCGAAAACAAAGAGAAGCACGGGACCTCAAATCCACTTCTTGCACTCACCGCTAGCGAACAGTGAAAAGGTCTGGAGAAATTATTCAAATTGCAGGGGAATTTGCAATTATTATAAGTCATCTCAACCCAAAAAAGCAATGTTAAGCACCCTTCATGAAGTACACTGAAAGCTTGGAGAACAAAACTGGCATCATGTATGGGCCCACTTTCTGTCTCCTATTGTATTATTATAAAGAGGAGAAGCTATTAGGTATTTCCAGAGCCATGTCTAAACCAAACTGATAGTTGGTATTTTTTGGCTAATTTGGATATGACAACGGATGTGCTCAGGAAAAGTAATATTGGTGCTGTAATTCTTCAGATAAATGTCTATGAATTTACCCACTGGGCAACAAAATGTAGCTCTGATCCATTGCTCAAGTGTCAGTGGAGTCTTCCAACAGTGTCCTGGCTTTATGAGACCACACATTTCTGGCATGTCAAAGGAAATGAGTCAAATCACCTCGCTTGTTTTCTAGTACAGGGCTTCATTTGCATTAAGAGGACAGAAAACTCAATAAGCACTACCTTTTCCAGTGTGTGCTTCAGCAAATAATCCATACTGTTTTATATGTTCCTCTTCAACCAATAAGTTCATGGCAGTCATTCACAGCTGGGAGACTTTTCATCAAAATGCACACTTAGCTATAAGAAAATCTGAAGAATAAAAAAAGTGAATTACTGACATTTATCCCACCTAGCCACTGTCTATCAAGAAGGACGGATAAGTGATTTTAGTGATCAAAATGCAAATATTTATGAAAAATTAAGCGAGCAGTCTCGTATTTATTCTGAAAAACTGAACACATCTTCTGTATAAAAAGGCAGAGTAGCTCAGCGTTTCCACAGACGCTTATGTGGTGTCTGCTTTCCTCCTCTCCTCCCATCCCTGCGCCGCTGAACTAACCTTACCTACATCAACTCTGTTTAATTATTGTTACCACAACTAAACCCACAACCCGACTGGTATCACATAATGAGTGATCTACCGGCTTGTAGTCCTTGTTAAATATCCTCTGGTTCGGGGATTTTGTGTAGAGACACCGTTACGCACCCCAGTGGGCGTTTGGCGACACGGTGGCGCAGGAGTCGCTGCATACAGTTGCAGCAGGACTCGGTGCAACATAAAGCTCCCAAATATATACGTACTGTACTGTACGCATTTTACCACGTCGTGCTGTTCACATTAACTTAGAGATAAATACTTATCAGAGAGCATTAACACCACAGATGGTCAGACCAGACAGGCTGCCCTCCAGCACCCAATTATAATGCAGCTGTCCAGTAAAGAAAGTATACCCTGATTACCCTCCGGTGGCCTAATTCCCCGCGTCAAAAAGCTTCTATTATAGCATTTAAAATATACATTAGTTGTAAATAATTAATGATAAACTAGGGCGATGTTGGCAAAATCATGATCGACTCTGGTGGGTACAATCCAGCAACATTTTTAATTCAGGGATTTGGAGTGAAGGAGAAGTACGTGTGCAAGTAAGCATGCTGTGTGTGTGGAAATTAGGCCACATGTACTGTATCATCAACAGACTACACTGTGTGTCTACAATTTAGAGAAACAAATCTAAACGGGAGCTGTTGAAATAAAACGATACCCCGAGTGTCGGAAGCTGGAATAATAACCGTCTGCGTAAATAAATCCACATTTTACAGCAAAACTGACTTTCAGCGATCACTGTGATATGTTTACACTCTGTCACGCGTGGCTTCAAACATACACGTCCATCACACCGAATTCAACGTGTCTGCTCCCAGAACCGCAGAAAACAAACAGCAGAACACGAATCCACTCGCTTCCCAAATCTCCTCCAAATATTGACCCATTACGCATCGTTTGCTGCCGGCTTCCTCTCAGCGGAACAAAGCCAACAATTGTTAATAATTGGTATATGATAAGTCTAATTCTAAGACATTTTCCATTGACTTCACCTGTCATCATGTGTACGGCTTTAGTATAGAGTGAGAAATCCCCCCACAGAAATATGTAGTCACAGAAAAGAAGAGAAAAGTCCTTACTTGTGTTTTGCAGCAATTCCTCCGATAATATCCTCCAGTCTTGGGGAGGTTTGTAAAGATCCCTGGATAAATCTGTAGCAGTTCACGCTTCTTTGTTTCTTTTTTTTTTTATCCAGAGCGTAGAGGAGACCAGAACGAAGGTTTTCTTTACCCCCTCTCTCCTTCAAGACAGATGTGAGTCCTGGCCGACTCGCTCCACCTGCATCCCCGCTGGAAATACCAACCACAAGGCAGAACATGCGACTTCAGAATTTGTTTTCAGAATAAAACTCCTAAATTAGTATGTCATTCGGTGGCTTTTATTGTGGAGGTTCTGTTTGGCGGATGCTTCTGTGTGTTTCTGGAGGATTTGACGCATCTCCACCTGCATCCACTGGAAGAGACACAGCAGCATCAGCAGCGGCACCGCACTGAGGAGGCCGCCCACAGAGACACGCCCCACTCCGGCTGGAGAAGGCTATTTCACCCTGGGCGAGGAAGCGAGAGGGAGGTCCTGGAAATGCTGTGAAAAGTATACTCCACTTTCCTGTGTCAATATTTCGGAGATGTGAAAAATAGTTTGGTGGAAGAAAATGTGTGTAAACCTGATAAACCAGTGAGGGATTTCAAGAAAAACATATATAATCAATAGCAATTAAAGAAATAAATGCTATACAGTCCCATATCGACAACATAAAGGATAACATTACACAAATAATGGCCTGAAGTACGGTCACAGCTGCCTCAAATAATGATATTCAGATGAAAGCAGAGCCTATCCTCAGCTAGCTGTGAACCTAATTATATACACTACACTGTCTGGCAAAATGGAACAATTACTAATGAGTCACAAACTTTCAGATATAACCATCAGGTGCACTGCTGCTATTATTTGCTAATGACTGCCCACACCCTCCAACATTTCCACGGGCAATTATGTAGACAAAACAGTGGGTCCATGAGCTCATCACCATAAAGGGAGAAAAACAGCATAAAAAGACATTTTCTTCCAAATAATGCATGCTCCTCATCAGTGCATTTAGTTGGATACAAACAAACATATCCCTCATAAAGATGAATGATTGATAAACACTATTATAAAGAAGAAGAAATATTGAGTTATGGTTTATTTAACAGTTTAAAAGTACCTGAATGATAACCAATAATAATATTAACAGCACTTTAAGTGTCTCAAGATACAAGTAATAGTAAACAAATAATATACTAAGTAATAATAGGACCGAAGTATCACTCTTATATTCTATTCACATATATTTTACTCAAAACATTCATAGTATTTCAGCCATATAAAATGCATTCAAAGGTATGGTAATGTTGGAAGGCAGAGCTGTTCAAGTCGAATGATTTTCTAGATAATCTGAATATCCACAGCTTTATAGCATCTCTTCTTGTGCCCACTGAATTCAAAGTTGTTACCAGTCCAGAAAGCACTGGCAGTTAGTTAAATGCATTACATTTGCACCCTGAGTAAATAAGACCCTAATCAACAATTGAAAACACTGTTGTGTGTTTTTCAACAGATAACAAGTGGGATCAGTTAAGACTATAGCCATTCCCTTAGTGCTGCACCCTCACCTGTTACCCTAGGCTGCACTGCCATTGCTCATGCTGAAAACAAGATGTCACCTGCACAAATGGGACTATTTGATCTGGGCAGAGAAGAGGGTCATTTAAGTCAGGGCCAGGCCATTTGAAGCTGAAGCTACATTTCTCTCCCTCTCTCACTTTCTCTTCATTCCCTCTCCTCATCATGTCAGACACTGGGCTGACAAAGTTCCTCATTAGAGGCCCAGCCTGGCCTCACTGTGCTCTGTTGCTCCGTCTTTCCTTAGTGGGAGAACAACTGGGTCCGCTCATCATGTCCTCCACATTGCCATGGTGAAAGTCTTAATTTCAGCCTCATTCACAGGATATTTCTAAGAGTAGTGTGGTCTTTCATATAATCATAGATTTCAGTTATAAGTCGAAAAGTACAGCAAATATTTAAAAAATGTACACGTTAAAGGTCCCCTATTATACTAGGAGAAGATTCAGGTGAAAAGATGGGGGGAGGTTCCTTGGTTGGTGATTGGCTAATGGTTACACAAGCCAAAAAATCTTTATGACATCATAAAGTGGGCAAAATCTGATCAGTTCATTTTCAGACAGGTTTTTATATAAATGGATCAGGACAAAAAGAGAGTGAATCTTCTTTCCTGAAACTTTCAGAATCTCTTTACACAGAGGGGACACATGTTGATGTAGAAAAGTGGATTTTGCATAATAGGTGACCTTTAAGAGTACAAAAGCAAAATGAGTTAATGGCTAGTTTACGCCTCAGTTCTCGTCAATCACTAACCATTTGGAACATTGACCACACAAACACTATTGACACATGGATCAATGGTGTGTCTTTGAGTGTTTTACTGTACATACCATTCATCCAGCCATCAGCCTGTTCTGCCTTAAAGGTATGTCCACGTCAGAGCAGTGTGTCGACAGAGAAATCACATCAATGGATCTGGAGGAGGGCATCAATCACAGCCCTATTGAGCTGCGTGCTGTAATGGCCACCTGTCAAAGAGTATTGACACCTCTCAGAATTACATTTTCAGGGCAGAATATCAAATTAAGAAAATATAATGGGGCAAGGTAGGTGGCAATGGTAGTGTTGTATATTGTTTTTTAAGGTATGTCAGTCATTAATGTGTTTAAGTTACAGTATTACATTTACTAGTTACTATGGGAAACTTTGCCCAAATGTATATTTGACCATTTGGACACATTTTTTATAACAAATAACTAAATAAATGATATCGTTTTATCTTGTTTTATTTAATTGCAGATTTGTATCAGCATAATACATAATTATATACAGTATTATAGTAATGTGTGATGGCCACAGCCACACAGGGTAAGACAAATACACTGCACCCTCACCTCCAGTAGTTTTGTTTCATTTCAGTTGCAGTAAAACATGTCAACAATTAACAACACACATTTGATTTAAATGTTAAACTCTTTATTTGCTTGTAACCTGACATTACTCCGTTTCCCCCCCCATACATTTTAGCACAGCTGGCTGAGGGCTGAGGATGGATAAATACTGCCAGCAGCCAATTGGGCCAAATTGAGACAAACCACATACTTCCATGTCAAAGGGGAATTTGGGATTTGTCTATGTCCTTTTGTATTCTGTTCATCTAAATTGCCCCTTGTTTTATATTTGGTTTGGAAAAGCCACTATATATCTTCCTTGTTTTGCCATTGTAGCAGGTCAGTTTGTTGAGATAACACCTGGTAAGTTGCTGTTATATTTATTGGAGGCATTTTCTGTTGGACCCTTTTATAGGCCTTGTTATTAGAGATTCTTGGTTTATAATGTTTTTGGTGTTTTGGGTAAATACAAAACCCAGTTTTTTTAAACAATTATTGTGTCCTATTGCCTTACTGTTTGGTCCTTAACACAATGCGTGGATCTAAATACATAAAACAAATTGAGCAGTTTACAGGGTGAAAGAAAGGTGGCTATGTCGTTTTTGTCCCCTTACACATTCTAAGCATAGGTAAAAACATCTCAGCATTGTATGAAATATGTGTGGGACAGGAACACAAATAACATCCAATATTCTGCTAAGAAACATAAACAAAAAAAATTGTGTTGGGATAGTTTTAGCATCTTGGGGATCCAAACTCCAACAAACAATTTAAAGAAAGAATGAGAAGTCACTCTGTTGGTAAAATTGCTTGCAACTCATGGGACAAATCAAATTGTGACAGGGGGGGGGACACACGTAGACCAGCCAAGTTACCGTCCATAAAGGGTAAGAAACTACTGTTCTAAAATATTGTTTGATGTCAGTATGGAGAATTGCAGGTTTGTTTACTGAGATGCCCTTACCACAAACCCACAATGTTTTCAATGTTATTCAAAGGGAACATCTACAAAATAAATGAAAATATATCATAGCAGACAGATGTCAGACTGAGTGTATAACACAGCAAATATCATCAAATAACCACCAGCCTGTTATCGTGATCTGATTTGAACCCAATAGAGATTTCATGCCTTTTAAATATCAGTATAACTCATTTCAGTCGTATGTCTTCCAGCGCCTTGATTTAATATTCCCTACATATAAAGCTGGCTGATTTGATAAGCTTTCACTCATGAGTAATTCATTTCATTGTTGGAGGACCCTGTGAGGTTGTTGCTTTTTCCTCTTTCTCTCCATTGAGCTAATTAAAACTAATTGAATTGAATTGATGGTACCAAGCCCCTGAATCACAGTGCTACCATCTCAGTCCTGCTCATCCCTGAAATTAGACAAATCAAGTGTGCCGTGTAATCAGACAGTCGACACGCAAAAGAAGCCGTCTACCCTGTTTGTTGTTGTCATTATCACAAATCCATCAAATTCCCTAATAACGACCAACAAAGGGAGAGTTGTTTGAACACAAATACATTTAGTTGCCTTAGATATGACAATGGTTTTTAGTTTTAACCACAAAAAGTCTCCTTGGGTGCATTTAGTCTTGGCTTGAAAGCACTACACTTACACATTTGGAAAATGTTTATTCCAGTAAGAGATGTGCTTCCTGAAACTACATAAATGTCGCTTTAACACCAGTGGAGCCAAATGCAGATTAATGATATACATAATTTGTGTGTTGTAGTGGTGTGTAGGTATATGCATATAAAGTAGGCCTACTAGCTGATTGTTTACGTAAAACTGTATTATGAAGTGTGTCTCGACTTTTATTTTCTAACAGTGGTTTAACTGCTTTTCATTTGTGCTTTATTGGATAATGTGCAGAAATATTAACTTGATATCAATGTTGGTTATTATTACTATCCTGTCCAAAAAAGGCTATCTATTTTGAAAATATTAACACAAATGGTCCTATAGCTTTTTCCCTATCAAATACATGATTCTGTCCAAACAAAAAGACAAATACTTCCGTGCATCGTGTTGTAAAATGATGCATCACAACACATGTACATCAGGTTAGAAATAACTAAATAAGATTATAGGCCCACGTGACATTCAAAAGTGCCGAAGTATTTACAGATCAATGTGTTCATACTGCAAAGCGAAACATTTACTGCTCTGACGAGACACCTAAAAGC